GTTTAGGGTTTAGGGTTTTGAATTTAGGATTTAGGGTTCAGGGTTTAGGGTTTAGGGATCAGGGTTTTAGGGTTTAGGATTTAGGGTATGGGGTTTAGGGTTTATGGTTGAGGGTTTAGGGTTCAGGGTTTAGGGGTTTAGGGTTTAGGGATTGAAGATGTTCCACAAAGGGGTGGCTCCTTGTAAGGGTTCCGTTAAGGGTTCCTTTAAAGGGCTCCTTTAAGGGGTTCGCTTCAGGAATTATCTTTGCTGTTCCCTTTTAAAGGGTTCCCTTCAAGGATTACTTTTAAGGGGTTCCTTTTGGAGGTCTCCGTTTAAGGGGTGCTTTTGGGGGTTCCCTTCGGGCTTCCTTTAATAATTCCTTTCAGGATTCTTCCAAGGGTTCCTATACGGACTTCCATAAGAAAAGTTTGATGGCCAAGGCGTTAGGGTGAAACGCTTAAGCCGTTGAAGGAACCCTTCAAGGAACCCTTCAAGGAACCTTTAAAGGAGCCCTTGAAGCCTTCTTGAAGGAACCCTTAAAGGAGCCCTTTAAGGAATCTTTAAAGGAACCCCTGAAGCCTTAAAGGACCCCTTGAAGGAACCCTTTAAGGAACCTTTAAGGGAACCCTTCAAGGAACCCTTAAGGGAACCCTTACAGGAGTCCTATAAGGAACCTTTAAAGGAACCTTTAAAGCAACCCTTGAAGTCCCTAAACCCCTAAACCCTAAACCCTAAACCCCAAACCCTAAACCCTAAACCCTCAACCCAAAACCCCAAAACCTAAAACCTAAAACCTAAACCCCCCCATCTTCGGCTCTGCAGAGACCCAGTGGCTCCAGCCAGGCGCGGAGCTCTCGCGCTCGCCGGCGGAGGCGCTCGCCCTGGCGTGGGTTTAGGGCTTTTGGGCTTGACGTTTAGGGCTTTAGGGTTTTGGGTTTTTTGGGTTTAGGGTCTAGGGTTTGGGGTTTAGGGGTTTAGGGTTTAGGGGTTTAGGGTTTCGGGCTTCAGGGTTTGATGCTTCAGGTTTTAAAAACTTGAGGGTGGCAGGCGTTTAAGGTTTTAAGGTTGAGAGCTTTGGGGCTTAGGCGTTAGGGTCATGGGGTTTCAGGTTCATGGGGTAGCTTTCAGCTTCCAGAAACGAGCATTGGGTGCAGAATGGTAATGATGAGGAGGAGGAGGAGGAGGGGAATGGTAAGTCATAATCATCACCAGCATCACTCTCATGATCAACCGCATCCAAGACCGACAGTCAACAGGTAAGAAAGATGCCGATCGTGCCTTTGAGGGCATGTCGGCGGCAGGCCACGGCTACGCATCGGCGCGAGCTCAAGTTAAAGCTTAGCTTCTTCTGCTGGGTTTAAGGTTGAAGGCTTTGGGCTTGGGGTTTGAGGTTTTGGACTCAAGAACTTGGTAAAAGCCTGGGGTCTGGGGCTGTCAGGGCGGATGTCATGGGCTTAATCTGAGTAGGCCTCGGGGTTGGGCGATGAGGTTTCGTGCGGCAAGGCCACAGTTTGGATTGACTGTGTTTGCGCCGGCCATGTCGAATCTATGTGGCTGCCCTGAGCAGCTGCAGAGGCCGTCAGCAGATGTCAAGAAATTGAGGGTTAAGGGTTTAAGGGTTTAGGGTTTATGGTTTAGGGTTTAGGGTTTAGGGTCTAGGGTACCTTTCCGCACACCAGTAACCTAAAGCGGACACGCATTAGTCCACATTCCACAGACGGGAGCATGTCGGCACGAAGAGTGATGAGGTCGACAGGAATGCCTGCAAGCATGCGTCCCTCCGATATGATGGGAGCTGGGATTAGGGGGACCCTTGGGGATATAGACCTCTCCATAAGGTCCCTTTTAAGAGTGCCAAAAGTAGGGTTCAGAAGGGGCACCCTTTAAGGGGTACCCCTAATAATACTACCTATATGACCATGATCACTCTGATAGGCCGCCAAAACCCCAAACGCCATACGCCAAACCCTGAACCCTAAACCCATCGAAACTCGGAGCGCGACATCTCTTAAAGGATCATGGGACTTGGTAAGTAGGGTTATAACTAAGGTAACTATACTTATATTTACTTATAACTCCAATTAAGGGACTTCTAACCTTACTTACTAAGTCACACCATCTTTAGAACCCTAAACCATTGTAGATCCCTCATAGAACCCTTAAAGGCCCCTTTGAGGAACGAACCCTAAACCCCAAAAACTTACTTACTAGGTCCCATGATCCTCCAAGGCTTTGAGACTGTAGAGCTAACGCTGAGCCCTGTGACGGCTGCAAGGCTCTGGAGACTTGGGGTTCATGACACCCCCACTACACGGGCTTCCGGGTTTAAGGTTTGGGCTTAGGGCTTAGGGTTTGGAGTTTGGGGCTTAGGGCTTAGGGTTTAGGGTTTAGGGTTTAGGGTTTGGGTTGGAAGGCTCAGGGTTTAAGGTTTAGGGTCTAGGGTACACCTATATACCAGAAGCACCGACAAAACCGAAGACGTGTACCGCTTTTTCTTGTGCGAGCATCAAGTCACTGAGCCGGAAGTCTGTGGAAATGTGGCGCAGGGGGTGCTTTGCGATCCGGTGTAGGGCTTAGGGTTTAGGGTTTAGGGTTTAGGGTTTAGGGCTTGGCAGGCAGATTATCGGGGGAGTTACGTTTTCCATTACTGGGTTTTGAAACTTAGTTACTAGGCCCCCCCCTGTCCTGCAAGTAAGTCTTTGCTAATCACGAGCCTGCTGCAAGACACCCGTTGACGATGCACTGAGAATCTCGTTTGAGGCATGGTGTGGTTTAGTGTTGAGCATGCAGCATGCATAGGGCCTAGGGTTCATGGCACTCGCTTCTGGATTACTCTCGGATTTAGGTACTGGTGTCGACTGCGCGGCTCAGGCATGTGTCGTGGCATCACCTGCAGTTCGGAAGGAGAAGTGCAACTCCTCTCCCAAACACGCTTGGACTGATACACGCACCTCGATATCCTGAACAGCTAGGAAGACATGGCACCAGGGCATGACGGCTTGACATGTGCTATGTGCTATTCAACCCACTCCGAGAGCGCCTCCTACATACCGCTCGGGATGCAAAAAAACCTGGTGGCACGGTGCAGAGAACGTTGCTTTTTGCACGTGTCCCTGCTTGTCTCGGGCGAGGTGCCCGAGACCATCTGTACGTCGCCAACAAGCGCAGAATGGCAGGGTGGCCAGCAGCTGCCGAAATCATGGATTTTCCATGTGTGTCCCTTATGCTCGGCTTGGCAGAGGCCCTCAACAAGCGGCCAACGACCTCCAGACGCCCATGTTTACAGGCTGCCCAGAGAGGTGTTCGGCCGTAGCAGTCGCGCACTTCCTTGTCAGCACCCGCTTTCCTGAGGCAAACGAAGGCGGCTCGGAGGATAAATTTCAGATTCATGGAAACCATGCTGTGTGCAACCTTAAACCTCAGCCCTGCGCGCATACACACACGCAAGAAAACAGATCTTGTATAATAGAGGGGCATCAATAATTAAAATAAGGTTTTTTGGGCCCTGAACAGTAAAATTCTAACAAGGAACCCCCAAAATAGTACCGGTAATTATTCAGGCCCCTACAATACCCCCAGTACAAGTATAAGCCCTAAGCAGCCGAATTGTGAGCCAAAACAGATCCAAAGGACCCGAACCGCATCCTTTGGGCCTACAAAAACCCTAAACCCTAAAACTGCCCCTAACCCCCAAACCCTCAACCCCTAAGCTGTCCCTAATCCCTAAACCCTAAACCTCTAAGCTGTCCCTAAACCCCAAACCCTCAACCCCTAAGCTGTCCCTAAACCCTATCCCTAAACCCTAAACCTCTAAGCTGTCCCTAAACCCTAAACCCTAAACCTCCATATAAGCTGTCCCTAAACCATAAACCCTAAACCTCTAAGCTGTCCCTAAACCCTAAACCCTAAACCTCGAAGCTGTCCCTCAACCCTAAACCCTAAACCTCTAAGCTGTCCCTGAAATACCAAACAACCCCAGACCGGAAAGCCCCTGAAGCCCAGCTTCAGGAGCATCGCCACAATCTGGGCGTGCCCCTTGGCGCAAGCCGTCCAGAGAGGTGTTCTGCCCAGGAGGTCCTTCAAAAAAGAGGGCTTAGGGCTTTTTAGCGTTTAGGGTTTACGGTTTACAGTCCTTAACCCCAAAACCTAAAGCCGAACAACCTAGAAACCCAAACGCCCTAAAAACCTCCAACACTTTGAAGTTCCAAGGCCCAAGCAAAGCCCCCAGCCCGAAAGCTCAAAACCCGACAGTCTCTAAAGCTTTAGACACCAAGTGGTAGTTTAGAGTTTAGGGTTTTAGGTTCCCTAAACCCTCTACCCTAACCCTAAACCCTAGTCCTTGTACTCCCGACCTGAATGCAGCATACTGTACTCCACCGCAGTCGGGGCCCCGGAATAGGGTTTTGGGTTTAGGGTTTAGGGTTTAGGGTTTAAGGTTTAAGGCTTGGGGTTTAGGGTTTAGGGTTTAGGGTTTAGGGCTTAGGGTTTAGGGTTTAGGACCCTCGGATCCTTTGGGTCCATATCAGCACGGGCCCCAAGGAGCAGTCGCACAACTTCCAAGTGGCCCACCTAAGGTTCTTGAAACAGGGCTAGGAGAGGGACCTTAATAATTAGAAGAGGGTTTTGGGATCCTTTTTAGCCTTGTTAGTATATGAACCCTAAACCTAAACTCCTGAACTCACCTAGGTTATATGGGTTCAAGAACTTAGGGGGGGTTGGGTTGCCTAGCTCCCTTAGGCTGCGAGGTTCTTGTGGGGCGGGTGTGCTGGTTGGGGACTTTGTAGGGCATGTTGTAGGGTTTAGGGATTCGGACTTAGGGCTTAATTAGGGTTTAGGATTTATGGGGTTTAGGGTTTAGGGTTTAGGATTTAGGGTTTAGTGTTTAGGCTTTTGGGATTCAGGTTTCTCACGGGGTTGCCTCCGTTTAGTGTTGAAGGGTTCAGGTGCGCAGGGTGGGTCTTTGGGGGTTAGGGGTTTAGGTATTCTCGGGTCGACAGTTCAGGGCTTGATATGAGCACTATAGCCAGAATTGCATGGCAGGCAGAACTGTTCACGATCATGCCACGATGGCACGTACTATCTGTCATTCTTCGTTTGTGCCGAATGCTCGTAATGAGGAAAAGTGTAGCACTGGTCCGGACGTGGTGGCAATGTGGGAGTTGCAGAAAATAAGGAGCCCTAAGAACCCGAAATAGTAGGATCCTTATTAGCAGGACCCCAAATAAGGTACCCAAGCTTGCTGGTAAGATGTGGACCCAGAGGGTCAAAACACTGACATGAAGTCACGAGACAGGCCCACAAACCCAATATAGGGGCCTTAATAATAATTAGAATATTGTTGGGGGGGTTCCTTTTACTTATTGTAGTATAATAGGCCCCAACCATTATTAAAATTATTGAGGCCCCTTAACCCTAAACCCTTATAGTAGCCCTTAGAGAACCCTTTAAGGAACCCTAAAGAGGAACCCGAAAATCCCTGTTCTAATCATTAAGTAGGGCTTGGGGATCCGAAACTTTGAACCTTGAGGAGGGTCGAGGGTTAGAGCTTATTGTGATAATATCGGTCGGGATGTGCGGGGGGTTTACGGTTTAAGGGGTTCGGGTTGAGCGTTTAAGGGTTTAGGGTTTAGGGCTTAGGGTTTAGGGTGGGGAGAAAAACAAAGGTCTCTCCAGGAAGCCAAACTAATGCTTACAACCACAGGCAGCATCTGGCATGCCACACCCGATAAACCCTAAACCCTAAAACGACCTTATTTTAGTTCCGTAGAACCCTTCAACCCTAAAAACGGCCCTAAACCCCACAACACCCCTTAACCCCTCGAGAAAGAGCCAAAGCAGCACTGGCTGCCAGGAATACCCTAAACCCTAAACCCTAAACCCTAAACCCTAAACCCTACACCCTAAACCCTGAACCCTACACCCTAGACCCTACACCCTAAACCCTAAACCCTAAACCCTACACCCTAAACCCTAAACCTAAAAATAACTTGCCAAAGCAGCATTGGCTGCCACGAAGAGGGAGGAGACGTTTTCCTCGCAGCACCTGTCTGGGCTGGCCCCGGCCTCCAAAAGGAAGCCAAGGACCTGAGAAGATCTGAGGATGTCGCGTTTGGAGTTTAGGGTTTAGGGTTTAGGGTTTGGGGCTTGGGGTTCTGGGTTTAGAGTTCCGTGTTTTTCTGGTTTTTTGACACCTTTTTCCAGCTGCATGGTATATGCTACCCGAGAGCCCACAGGGGGCAGGCCCGAAGTCCCAAAAATCATTCGGGCTATGGATGCTACTGCTAGCAATTGCTCTCGCCCTGTTTGCCCACGCAAACCCCACCTCGATTCTGCCAGAGAAGCACGCCAGCATCAGAGGTGTCGGATCACCTAAGGCTTAGGATTCAGATTGTGCGTGGGGCTGGGGCTTAAGGTTTAGGATTTACAATTGGGATCTAACAATTCAATAATAGGGTTTGCGATTGGCTGGCGGGATTGCTGAATGAGGGTCGGGGGTGCACGACCGGGCATAAGTTTTCATTTGCTGTGCAGGTCGGCTTTGGGGATAAACCCCTAGGCCCCCAAAACCTCAACCCTAAAACCCTAAACCTTAAAACCCTAAACCCTTAAGACCCTGAACCCTAAAACCCTGAACCCTAAACCCTAAACCCTAAACCCTGAACCCTAATCCCCTAACCCCCAACCCCTAGCCCCTAAACCCTAAACCCTAAACCCTGAACCCTAATCCCCTATACCCTAAACCCCAAACCTTAAACCCTAAACTCCTAAACCCTAAATCCCAAACCCTAAACGCAATTGAGGGTGTCAGAGTCACCCGCGATGCGCTTCTCCTGGGCATCCGGCTCGGCCTTTGCCTTCGGCAGGCACTGGAGGGCTACTGTAGGGGCCTTAATAATTAGATTCGGGTTTAGGGTTTAGGGTTTTGTATAGGGGCCTTAATAATTACAATAGGGTTTTGGGGTATATTACACTGTAATTATAATAAGGAACCCCCAAACCCTATTCTAATTATTAAGGCCCCTACATTATCTAAACCCTTTTCAACCGGCGTGGAGCAAGCAGCCCTAGAACCTAAACTGAAACCCCGAACGATCTGAGCCCCAAAAAAAAGCTTCATGCAGAAGACTTAGACGCCAGCGAACTTCTCCTGAACCCCGAGGAGTTCTGCCTCTCGAGGTCGTGGTAGTATTCGTCTTTCTTCTCGTCGGAGCAACGCGCCAGAATATCTGACAAGCCTCACTTCTCGGGTTGTTTTGCTTTGAATCTGCTTAGCTCGTGCATCCTCATATCGAACCCTACACCCCAAACCCTAAACCCGAACAAGTCGTTCCTAAACCCACCTGCCAGGAACGTCCACCCTCAAATGGGTGGTTGTCAAAATTATGGTATCTTTTTGGGTCCTTATTATAATACGACACCTATTATTTAGGGTACCCAAAAAGGGACTCTAATTTTGACAACCACCCAAATGTAATGTGCCACGCTGCGCGTCTCCGCGATGCGGTCGAGCTTGAACTTCTCCTTGAGGTGCTGCATCCTGGCAAGGTTAAATGCTAATGGTACAGTTGATGGACAAAATCCTGCATGACCCTATATACCTAAACTATGGGATTTATGGTACTATACTATATTTGGGTCATGCAGAATTTTGTCCATCAACCGTACTTAAATATTCGTTTTATACTAATACTACTCAAATATTAGTATTACAATCATATTGCAGAGTGTTGGTATTATAACAATATTCCTAAGTATTAATCGTGCAGTAATATTACTAAATATTGGCCATCTTAGTAGAAATAGTAAGAATTAATAATTAAAGATAACCTGTAGTAGCCGGTAGTACCCAGACCTTCCAATATGCCCTAATTAAAGAATCAAATCATGTCAGGAACCTTACCATAGATTTAAGTACATTCCTTAACTAAGGAATTTTGGAAATTCGGGGTACTGCCGGTTACTGTCAGGACCTGAACCAGTAGGACAGGGTTCCAAAAAAGGGTTCTAGACGGGCTCTGGGGCTCCACTGCTACACTAAACCCTTGTAGAACCCCATAAAACCCCAAAACCCCAAAACCCCAAACCCTAAACCCTAAACCCTAAACCCTAAACCCTAAACCCTAAACCCTAAACCCTAAACCCTAAACCCTAAACCCCAAAACAACCCTTATAAAACCCTTGCAGAACCCACGTCGGTGCCTTTAATAGACCTCCGACTCTTGGGCCCCTGAAATCTGAGCTGAAACCCTAAACCCTAAACCCTAAACCCTATACTATACCCTAAACCCTAAACCCCAAACCCTAAACCCTATACTATACCCTAAACTCTAAACCCTAAACCCGAAACCCTAAACCCTAAACCCTAAACGCAGTGCCCCCGAAGCTGACTCAAGGCGGGAGCCTCTTGTCGCGGTTGATCGCCACAAAAGTCCCATCTTCCATCTCTTTCCTAAGGAACGCCCAGGGGGTGGGCTCTCAGTCTCGCTTCGCATCGGCCCCTAAACTCTCAGCCCTGCAACCCTTACACCCCTAAACTCTCAAACCTCATAGGTAGTATTATTAGGGGTACCCTTAAGAGGGACCTTATTGAGAGGATCTTTCTCCCCAAGGGTCCCCCTAATCCTAGCTCCCACCTCAACTCTCTAGACCCATTTACCAGCCCTAAGGCGAGAGCTGGGGCCGAGGGTGGAGCTTCGGGCCACTGGGGAAGATCGAAAAAAAAAAGCGGACTTGTTGTTTCTGTGGGGGGATACATTGCTCCGAGCCACATCTTCACGACGAGCATACCGCACGGAGATCGAGCCTCTTCCATGATCTCTTTCAACTTCTTCCTTGGGAGCTCCGGTAGAATGGATAGTTGCAAACAAAGCAGACTGATAGTTCTTGCGCTTGAAAAGCTTGGTTCGAAGCCATCGAGCAGCTTCAAGCTCTAAACCCTCAGCCATTAAAAACAAATCAGAAGCCCTACGCAAGCCCTACCCTGCGCCAGACGATGGAAAGCTCAGCAGAAACTTGGGATCCGGGACGGTACAAGAGTTTCTGGACTTCCCGGGAGAGAAGACATGATCCGCCAGAGCGTAAACCCTCACCGAGCCCGAAGCCCCCCCAAACTTCGAAGCAAAGCCTGGGAAGCATCCATGAACACGAATCCCGTGCGAGCCGAGTGGTTTGGGGAAAAGAATGAAACTAGCCGGTAAGGGGATGAGGCTTTAGGGTTGAATGAAGCGCTTAGGGATTTCTGCGTGTTCTCCAGGTCTCCATCAATCTGACTGACTCTTCTCAAAGCCTGCTGTATCATCCATACAGATGTGTACTGTAAGGGGTATAGGCAATGCGAGATATCCCGGTATTGTCGCTATGATCTTATACTATAACTTTGCCCCCAGACTCAGGTCAGCTGTTACGGCAGTGTGCAGGGCAGGCGGGCTCTCTTGCAACAGATTCTTGTTTAGCAACAGCTGCCTTGATAGTTATCCGCAGTATTTGCTTGTAGAAGTAATGAAAGTACAAATACTCCGAGCTCCATTTCTATTTATAGAATTACATTCCAGAAATCTGGAAACTAAAATTCGTCCTCAGACCTCCACAGTAGGTCAACCCACTTTTCTAGGGCTTTGCCAAGGCACAGGTCCTCAACCCAGGTGTCATGTCTGCAGGGTTTAGGGGTCTAGGGTCTGCAGGGATTAGGGGTTTAGGGTTTAGAGTCTTAGGGGTTTAGGGTTTAGGGTCTAGGGGTTTAGGGTATAGGGTCTAGGGTTTAGGTGTTTAGGGGTCTGGGGGTTCAGGGGTCTAGGGTTTTTCTGTCTAGGACTACGTTTAGGGTTTAGGGTCCGGGGGGGACAGACTCTGTCGGGAGGGTCTCGAGTTTAGGTTTGAGGGACAGCCAGTTCTGTACTCGCAAAGCTCGAAACCTCAGTTTATGCAGCCCTGACGTCGGTTTGAGTGAGGTTGGGTCGGGCTTTTGACACTTCTGCGCGACTGCGTGCACTTGTGATGGTTGGCGGCTTGCAGGATCTTCGTCGTTCCTTGCTTTTTGTGTTGATGGCGTTCTGACCCTGATGATTATCACCGGCTACCCAGCAACATTTGTAACATCATTCCCCTTCCCTGAACCCCAGAACTAGCACTAGCCAATATACATGGCTCAAAGTTTGTCGGCGTCTGTGCTGCCAGAGCTGAGAATGTACCTGCCTGTCTTTCATGAGTTCGTTCAACTTTTCGATGTGGCGGGTCTCGATGTAAAACTCGTCACAGAGCTCCTGGATGTCCTGGGTTAGCGGGCATCCTTCAAAAACTCAAACGAGAGAACAAGGCAAGACCAAGGATAAGACGAGTACAAAAACTGACATGAGAGGAAGCAGCATCCAACTTCCTGCAGCCTTCAAGTCCTTGAAGCCCGGAAAGGAGGGTTTAGGGGTTAGGGTTTGGGGTTTAGGGTTTAGGGTTTAGGGTTTAGCGCAGATTCCATAAACCCTCAGCCCTGCACCTCCAACCATGCACACTGATCTTACACCCTACACCTGGAAGCCCACAGCCGAAACCTTGGTAGCCTCAAGCCCACTTGCTGGGCTCTTGCTACGGAGATTTAATCACCAAGTTGCCATAACAAGGAAACTACATTACGCACTGTAGATCCCCATTATGGCAACTTAAAGAACTTAAAGTACCCTAAACCCTAAACCCTAAACAAACAACTCAGTAAGTATGCCCACTTGCCGGATGAAGCGGCGGGATGGATCCGGCCGTGCTCTGAGACGTAAACATCGGTCTCTTCGCCCCTCTTTGGCCTCTCTCTGACTCTCGGGGCGCAAGATTCCGAGACCCTTTGAGGGGGACACTGTTACTGAACCCTACAGTACCCTTTAAAGGACTCAACCTCAAACCTAAACCCAAAACCCTGCAGTACCCTTCAAAAGACTGCACAGGAACCCCTAAGGGGGCCCTTGGGGGTTCTATGACGGGCCTTCTATGACGGAGTCTTTGGCAGAGGGCTTTGGGTGCTGGTTGGAACATCTTAGGGCTTAGGGTTTAGGATTTAGGGTTTAGGATTTAGGGTTTAGGGTTTAGGGTTTAGGATTTAGGGTTTAGGATTTAGGGTTTAGGATTTAGGGTTTGGGGGGTTTGAAAAGATGAAGAACTTCTGCCTTCGAACCCAAGCTGGGTTTAGGGTTTAGGGTTCCGAGAGAAGCTTCCTCCAAATCCTAAGTCCTAAGGTTTAGGGTTTAGGGTTTAGGGTTTAGGGTTTAGGGGTTTAGGGGTTTAGGGTTTAGGATTTAGGGTTTAGGATTTAGGGTTTAGGATTTAGGGTTTGGGGGGTTTGAAAAGATGAAGAACTTCTG